AAGTTGTGATTACAGGATATACAAAATGAAAAAAAAATTCAACGTACTGGATAAGGTGATGGTTTTCAAGTTTTGTCGGCAAAAGATAAAAAATGAAAGTAGATTCAAGGCGCTAGATAACATTAGGATTTTCAAGTTGTGCTGACAAGAGATGCAAAAAGAAAACTTGTTCAACGTACTGGTTGAGATGATGGTTTTCAAAATTAGACGGCAAAAGAGGAAGAGTGAAAATATTTTCAATGCGTTAGTTAAGATGATGATTTTAAAGTTGTGATGACAAGAGATGCTAAATGAAAACGTGTTCAACGTACTGGTTAAGAGGATGGTTTTCAAAATTAGACGGCAAAAGAAGAAGAGTGAAAGTAGATTCAATGCGTTAGTTAAAATGATGATTTTCAAGTAGTGGTGACAAGAGATGCGAGTGAAAATAGAGTCAAAGCGCTAATTGAGATGTTGATTTTCAAGTTGTGATGACAAGAGATGAAAGTGAAAAAGGTTCAACGCGTTAGTTAAGGTAATGATTTTCAAGTTGTGATGGAAAAAGATGAAAGTGAAAACTGATTCATTCCACTAGTTAATTTGATGCTCTTTAAGTTATGAAGGCAAATTAAAAGTTAAAATAGATTCAAAGCTCCAACTAAGCTAATGGTTTTGATTTTGTGATGGTAGATGCAAAATTAAAAAAAATTCAATGCGTTAGTTAGGATGATGACTTTCAAGTAGTGGTGACAAGAGATGCGAGTGAAAATAGAGTCAATGCGCTAATTAGGATGATGATTTTAAAGTTGTGATGACAAGAGATGCTAAATGAAAACGTGTTCAACGTGCTGGTTAAGAGGATGGTTTTCAAAATTAGACGGCAAAAGAAGAAGAGTGAAAGTAGATTCAATGCGTTAGTTAAAATGATGAATTTCAAGTAGTGGTGACAAGAGATGCGAGTGAAAATAGAGTCAATGCGCTAATTGACATGATGATTTTCAAGTTGTGATGACAAGAGATGAAAGTGAAAAAAGGTTCAACGCGTTAGTTAAGGTAATGATTTTCAAGTTGTGATGGAAAGAGATGAAAGTGAAAACTGATTCAATCCACTAGTTAATTTGATGGTCTTTAAGTTAAGAAGGCAAGATATGAAAATTAAAATAGATTCAAAGCTCCAACTAAGGTAATGGTTTTCATTTTGTGATGGTAGATGCAAAATTAAAAAAGATTCAATGCGTTAGTTAAGATTATGACTTTCATGGAGTGATGGCAAGATATGAAACCTAAAATAGATTCAACGCACTAGTTAAAGTAATGGGTTTCCTTTTGTGATGGCAGGAGATGCAAAGTGAAAAAAGATTCAATGCTTTAGTTAAAATGATGATTTTCAAGTAGTGATGAAAAGAGATGCAAATAACATAGACTCAACGCGCTATTTAGGATGATTGTTTTCAAGTTTTGATAACAAGAGATGAAAAAAATAGATTCAACCCACTAGTCAAGATGTGAAAGTTAAAATAGCTTCAAAGCTCTAGCTAAGATAATGGTTTTCATTTTGTGATGGTAGGAGATGCAAAAGGAAAATAGATTCAATGCAATAGTTAAGATGATAATTTTCAAGTAGTGGTGACAAGAGATGAAATAGGAAATAGATTCAAACCACTAGTTCAGATGACGATTTTCAAATTGTGACGGCAAAAGATGCAAAAAGAAAAAAAATTTAACGCGCTAATTAAGATGATGATTTTCAAGTTGTGGTTGCAGAGATGCAAAGTGAAAAAGGGTTCAACGCGCTTGTTAAGATGATGAATTTCAAGTTGTGATGATAGGAGATGCAACGTGAAAAGAGATTCAACCCGCTAGTAAAGATGATGATTTTCAAGTGGTGCGGGCAAGAGATGCAAATTAAAAATAGATTCAACGCGCTAGTTAAGATGATGATTTTCAACTCGTGAGGGCAGATGCAAAATGAGAATAGATTCAACCCGGAACTTAAAATGATGAATTTTAACTTGTGATGGCAAGAGATGCAAAATGAAAACAAATTCAATGCGCTAGTTTAGATGATTGTTTTCGATTTGTGATGACAAAAGATGAAATTGAAAAAATATGCAACGCACTAGTCAAGACCTTGAATTTCAATTGTGACGGCGAGAGAAGCAAAGTGAAAAGAGATTCAACCCTCTAATAAAGACAATGATTTTCAAGCTGTGACGACGGCAAGAGATGCAAAGTAAAAAATAATTCAACGCGCTAGTTAAGATGATGATTTTCAAGTTTTGATGACAAAACTGAAAAAGAAAACTGATTCAACCCGCTAGTTAGGATGATGATTTTCAAGTTGTGACGGCCAAAGATGCAAAATGAAAAAATATTTAACGCGCTAATTAAGATGATGATTTTCAAGTTGTGGTTGCAGAGGTGTTAAATGAAAAAGGGTTCAACGCGCTTGTTAAGATGATAATTTTCAAGTTGTGATGATAGGAGATTCAACGTGAAAAGAGATTCAATCCGCTAGTTAAGATGATGATTTTCAAGTGGTGCGGGTAAGAGGTGCAAAAAGAAAATAGATTCAATCCGCTAGTTAAGGTGATGATTTTCAAGTGGTGAGGGCAAGAGATGCAAAGTGAAAATGTATTCAGCCCGCTAGTTAAGATGATGAACTTCAAGTAGGGATGGCAGGATATGCAAAATGAAAACAGATTCAACCCACTATTTCACTAGTTTAGATGATGATTTTCAACGTACTTGTTAAGGTGATGGTCTTCAAGTTTTGTCGGCAAAAGATGGAAAATGAAAGTAGATTCAAGCCGCTAGTTAACATTAGGATTTTCAAGTTGTGCTGACAAGAGATGCAAAATGAAAACTTGTTCAACGTACTGGTTAAGTTGATGGTTTTCAAAATTAGACGACAAAAGAGGAAGAGTGAAAATATTTTCAATGCGTTAGTTAAGATGATGATTTTAAAGTTGTGATGACAAGAGATGCTAAATGAAAACGTGTTCAACGTACTGGTTAAGAGGATGGTTTTCAAAAATAGACGGCAAAAGAAGAAGAGTGAAAATAGATTCAATGCGTTAGTTAAAATGATGATTTTCAAGTAGTGGTGACAAGAGATGAGAGTGAAAATAGAATCAAAGCGCTAATTGAGATGTTGATTTTCAAGTTGTGATGACAAGAGATGAAAGTGAAAACGGTTCAACGCGTTAGTTAAGGTAATGATTTTCAAGTTGTGATGGAAAAAGATGAAAGTGAAAACTGATTCAATCCACTAGTTAATTTGATGGTCTTTAAGTTATGAAGGCAAATTAAAAGTTAAAATAGATTCAAAGCTCCAACTAAGCTAATGGTTTTCATTTTGTGATGGTAGATGCAAAATTAAAAAAGATTCAATGCGTTAGTTAGGATAATGACTTTCAAGGAGTGATGGCAACATATGAAAACTAAAATAGGTTCAACGCACTAGTTAAGGTAATGGGTTTCCTTTTGTGATAGCAGGAGATGCAAAGTGAAAAAAAATTAAACGCTTTAGTTAAAATGATGATTTTCAGGTAGTGATGAAAAGAGATGCAACGAACATAGACTCAATGCGCTTTTTAGGATGATTGTTTTCAAGTTTTGATAACAAGAGTTGAAAAAAATAGATGCAACCCACTAGTTAAGGGGATGCTTTTCAAGTTGTGACGTCAAGATGTGAAAGTTAAATTAGCTTCAAAGCTCTAGCTAAGGTAATGGTTTTCATTTTGTGATGCTAGGAGATGCAAAGTGAAAATAGATTCAACGCAATAGTTAGGATGATGATTTGCAAGTAGTGGTGACAAGAGATGAA